CCTCGCTCGGCTCCCCGCCGCGCGGCCGCCCCGGGAGCCCCGCGCCCCTGCCGGGCTGCGGGCGCCGCGCTCGCCCAGGTCCGCGGTGCTGAAACTGCTGCCATTTGTGGCGCCCGGGGAGCCAGGCGGCGGGAGCTGGGTCTCGCTGCTCTCCTCCGCTTGGGCTGGTTGCTCTGAGGCTCCTGCAGCCGGGCTGCCACGCGCGGGGACCCAGGTAATGGCCCGAGGGGTTGACTCCCACCCGGTCCCGTGTTCGGGACGGATTCTGGTGCCTTTTCGCACAGACCGGGCACGGTTCCCTCCTGACTTCCGAAGTGCAGTGGAGGGGAGGGAGCGGGTGCGGGCAGTGCCGGGCAGGTGCAAGTGGGCGAAGCTCCCCGGCTCCCAGAGGGAGACCCGGGGAATGAAGAGCGAGAACGGCACGCGGACTGGGCCTGTGCGATGCGCTGCCTGCGGGGAAACTAGCCGGATACCTGGGCGCGCGTGTGCCGCCGCAGGGTACTTGCCTTTCCGCCCTTTTGGGAAAACATCATCAAGTCGCTATGCAAGTACTGGGGACCAGAGAACTCTCTGTAGCGCGGAAACGGTAACCGTGGGTTTTTTTAGGTGAGCCTCAAACACTTTTGAAAACGAGTGTCCAGAAGATCAAGTCACTTAAAACCACAGCCCAATGACTATTCTAACTGAAAGACTGTCATTTCTCACAAATCCCTGGGGGTACAGTAGGTGTATTTTCAATTTTTAAAAATCTGTTTCTGTGCCGCTTCCTGCAGCCAGCCTCTCGGCAAGTGTGCCCGGTGTGGGAGCTGTGGATAATGAAGACGATTCAAGTCAACCCCCTGAGCACCACCACTCACGTCTCACTGAAGTCTCTCTAACCCTCTGCAGGGCAGACGGATCGTTCCAGTGCCCGAGAGCTGACCAAGTGTGGGGTGACATGGCCCAGGGGAATAATTACGGGCAGACCAGCAACGGGGTGGCGGATGAATCACCCAACATGCTGGTGTACAGAAAGGTAAGGCTTTCTTCACTTTCTTGAACAAAGGGAAACTTTTGTCTTCCTTGATTTTGTTTTCTCCCCGGAATATACACTTAACTTTGGCCTCAGACTTCCCGAATCACAAAGTGCTGCACACTGTACTTGAAGATGGTCTGATATTCTCAGGTGTGTAGGGACGCAGCGAAGTGAGTTGAGGCTGGCCGTACCCCTCCCTCAGCTTCCCTGCCGACTTCACGCAGATTAACCTGCCATCAGCAGCAGTACCCGCAAGTGTGGGCGTCACATACTTTGTTACACCTGTGATTTTGTAGCATCCGTAATAGTTTTCAGAAGCTTTTTCATATACTCCCCTAAGCATTTGAGTTATAAGGATTGTATAAAGGTATCGCATTTTAGAGATGAAAAGACCACTTTGCAGTTCAGCAAAGAGTTAATGTGCCTATGAATCTATGGTTGGTGTTAACAGTTTACTTGCGACTAAACTTTTCTTGTTGTTTTTTTTGTGTTTTTTTTTTTTTTGGTTTGTTTTTTGTCTTAGCCTAAATTATTTTTTACTTTGGGTTATTTTTATGGTTTTGTTTATGGGTATTTATGTTCCAGTGCCATATGAATCCTACATAAACGTTTATGGTTGCTTTTTTTTTTTCTTGCCACCAACTGATCTGATAGCTTTATACATTTTATTGCAGCTATCAGCAACAAACTTCTAGACACTGAGCCACCATAATAAAGATGCATTTGAATATCGTGTGTGCTTTAGAGTGGTTGCTTAGGTAACTTCATTCTGGTCATAATCAGCAATAGTCCTAAAATTAAGGAAGCAATATTCTTTATTTAACTTCTGTGCCAATCGTTTCAATTGCATTTTATGCTGGGATTATTTTTCCTTAGCATATTATGTGTAGCGCTTATGGGGCAAGATTTCTTTGGTTAACATTAGCAATAACGAAAAGGAAGTCATACCTTGGAATCAAGAAAATTGTTAAAGGTTTTAATTAGCATGAGCCCATTGAAGAGTCCAGGATGAGTTTGTGTATGTTCTTTCATGAATAAAGCTGAAAAGCTGTCTGCTATCTTGACCTGTGCTAAATGTAACCTCTTCTATGTGGGCCCAAATCACCGAGAGATGGTGATGAGTATGTGTTTGAGGCAATATTGGTATTGCTTTCATGTGAAGGTGAATGGACATCCTGATGCAATGTTAGTTGTTTTTCTCTTTAGCCATACAAACAGTATGGTATTGTGTACCTGTGAATGCAGTTTTTTGTGTCTGGGACAACACAGTATGATAGGAAATAAAAATTGGAGATTAGTTGCTTATTTTAGACCTAAAGCATCCCAACTGGATAATCAAGAACATAATCCACTTGAGCCTAAATTATTATGATTGTATTGCTACATCGATCGAAATAACTGGATATTTGCCCATTCTAAATAGAATTCGTTCTGAGAAGAGCTGTTTGGAGGGCAGTTATGTGCTTTTAAGTAAGTTATGATATTTTTATTGTTTGGTATGCTTTGAATATTAAAATATGCAAGAGATGAGAATCATAAGTTCTATCTTATAGGCATGTGCATGTGGAAAGCTGGACTTTTGGATGTAAAATTACAGTAGTTAGCTACTCTTGTTTGGTCAAACACTATATTCTTTTTCTTGTTCCTTATAGAAGGTTAGGGTCACATTGATCAGACACCTCATGCTTATCTTGATTAGAAATAAACTTAATATGACATGAATCTGTGTGTCTCATTTAGTCAATTATTATGAGAATAAATGAAAATATGAGGCTAGGAGTTTTAGAAATAGTTATTAGATTATTTAGGGTACCTGAGCTTCTTAGTGCTAATTTTGAATTTGCTCTGTAAGTTGCTGTGTGACACCAAATTGCTGCTAGGGCTACTGGTAAGTTAACAGACTATGTCTTCACGGAAAGAGTATAAATGCCTCACTCTTTTCAACATTATCATTTTGTTGGTTAAGCTTGGAAATGCTTGTATTACTTATTTTGCCCTCCTTTTATTACTGTGTTTAGTATTAATGACACAATTTATTTTTAGAAACTATTTCTCTGCTAAATCATTTTCAGAAAAAAAAATAACTCAGTTCAGTAAATTGTGCTCATAATGCTTGATTATGGATTACCTATCTATCCTTTTATTCTCCAAGCACACATATTTTGTATTTGTGATATAAAGAATAATGTATAAATACCAGATAATTTATATAATAAGACACATATCAAAATGGCCCATGTCTGTTTGGAGACATACAACCCTGACGTCATGGTTTCATGTGACCGTTTTACCCCTGTTTCTTGCACCTTATTTATATTTATATTTTCAGTAGAGGCTAGATTTTAATGTGAAGAACAGCAAAGTAGTTGGAGAGACGTATAGGACTGGTATCTGTTACGAGGATGTTTCATCGCTACCTGCTTAAAGGAAGAAGCACTGGGTTACAAACGCGTAACAATCAAGAAGTCAATCACAGGTTTAGAAAAGAACTTGGGTACCATGGCACATTGCTCAGTAACAGCGGAGAGAGTGGATAAATTGCTGTTTTTATCCTCTCATGCCAGTTTACCACTTTTGCTTCATTGTTGAAACATAGTTCTTGGAAATAGGTTTTGAGCTAGACACATTCACCGGTGTTCTCACTGTTTCCCCTCCCCTGCAGGCCACCTCTTGTTTATACCAGGATTGTGGTGCTTCACACACACTAAAGACATGTATGTGCCGTTTCGGTTTTATCTGGGTAGGCTATGAATGACACGTCGTAACACATTCCTGTGAGAGAGGGGAACAGTGAATGGTTAGCAAAGTGGAATGCACAGACAAGAGCTGGGATGCATGCGTTTCTTGTGTTTGTCAGGTGTGTCTCTCTCTTGTGATTACTCTCATCCAGATTATAGGAGTTCCTCCAAATGACGGGAGAATTCTAAAGGTCTCTTTCCGTGGAGAATTCCGTAGTGACGTTATGGAAAAATATACAGTGTGTAGAAGGATGATGCTCCAGGCAGAGTGAGTGCTGCTGTGGTGCAGGCTATGGACAATCGTGGTGCTGCCTCACGGTCAGGGTTGGGACCTGCAGGTCAGCCTGGGATGTCTGTGAGCAGCTTTTTGGTTTCACGTGAGGCATCTCAGGTGGAAGGATGGGGTAAAATACGTAAAGGGTATTAAGAGATACAAACTTCCAATTGTAAATAAGTCACAGGGATGAAAACTACAGCATAGGGAATGTGGTTAATATTGTAATGATGTTGTATGGTGACAGATGGTGACGACAGTAGGGTGGTGAGCAATGAGTAATGTATAGAGTAATGTATTAGGGTGTTGTACATCTGAAACTAATATAACATTGCACTTCACTAAAAGAATTTTAAAAAGAAAGGGCCTCTGTAGGCTTCATTTGATGTCAAGTACATTTTAAACATCCATATGGACACAGTATATGCCTTACCAATTTTTCAACTCACAACGCTGTTTTTTCATAAGCAAGTGATTAAGTTAGAGTCGTTATGCCATTTTATGTATTTGAGAACACTTTATTTGAAAGCTCATAAGATATGAGTCTCGGCCACATTTAATTTTCGGGCTTTCTAGGCTCTATCCGGTCAGGCCTTAAGTAACATTGGAATGAGAAGCAACCCACTTTCTTAAGAAGAGACCCACTGAGCTCCAGCTTGCCTTGGGTTCGGGAGGTTTCTTGAGACATTGGTAGAGGTGCTAGCCTAGAACGCAGTTTTGGCTTTGGTTGATGAGGCCCAACCACTGCTCCCTTCTCGCTCTGTTCCACAGGGCAGAATCCTTGTTCTGGACGCAGCACTGGCTGTGGAGGACGGCCGAGCTAGAACCCAGGGGGCAGGGACACACATTCCAAATCCGGTGTCTGGCCAGCATGCTGCCCACTAGACAGGATACATCACGTTTTGTCCAGCAGCTGACATTCCTGCATTTGAAAAACAAAATATCTAGGGCACCTTGGGGCCAGTATTTCAAATGGTCTGGAATGCCGGCCTCTCACCAGCAGAACTGCTCACAATGACCAATAATTTTGCTATTACTGCAGCAGCTATTTATGCTTCAATGGCCAGAAAAGAAAATCAAAATATTTTCCTCATTCACTACCTTGGTGGGATGAATGTGTTTTTGGATGGAGCAAACCTGTGCCCTCACCTTACCTCACCTGCCCTCTCCTCTGTCCTTTGCCCTCACCTCACCTCGCCTGTCCTTTCCTCTGTCCTGTGTCCTCACCTCACCTCACCTCACCTCACCTCACCTCACCTCACCTCACCTCACCTCACCTGCCCTTTCCTCTGTCCTGTGCCCTCACCTCGCCTGTCCTCTCCTCTGTCCTGTGTTCCTCTCCTCTCTTCATCTCCCATGTGCTCACTCTCCTTCCAGTTGCTTTTTCCTTTTAATTTCTTCTTTTAAAGACAGACCTAAATGTGAAGGTAAGTTTTCCCTGAGATGATGCTCAGTTTCGTTGTAAAAGATAAAATGATGTCTTTTGGAGAAGAGAGAAGATTCCAGTCTGGTTTGGGTGCGTGTTACGCACATGCTCTTGAAAGGGTGCTTTTAAACTTGTGTGCCATGGGGTCCAATATGTTGCTGTGTATGTGGTGTGGCAAAAGGTTAGTCTTTAAGGACCGACTGCTCTGTTCTTGAAGAGCAAGAGGGGCCCACTGGCCCTTCCTACAGAAAGATGCAGTGGGAGATGTCAGCCCCATAGGACGATTGCCCATGCTGATTGGCTTGACCTAGACTTGCCTTTGGAAGCTGTTTGTGAAGTCTGTCTGTTTCATAAGAGTACAGGTACCCATAAGAAAGGGGAAGGACTTGCTTCTTTGGGAGGAATTGAGCCACAGACAGTTACTAGTCTGTTAGTGGCGAGTTAGCTGACATTTTCTGTATTAACTCAGTGCATTTGTCTCTTTAGGATTGTCCAATCTGGTTAACCTTGAGGGTGTCAATATCCCCCCCCCCCCCCCCCCCCCCCCCCGCTCCTTGAACTC